GTTTAGCGGTGTGTAACATAAAGGGTGTGAACTATACTCAAGTGATGAATAGACACCCGGCCAAAACGCTGGGCTGAGCTTGGGCCGAGGTGTTTATTTATCACTTGAGTATAATGCCACATCCACGTTATACTCTACTCAACACCTCCACCATACTCTACTACTATTCGTATCACTCTTATGTTACACACCGCTAAACATCACAATACTCTACTCAACACACCGGCCCTACTCTACTACTTTTCGTCTTACCTGACCCAACTAGGGCCACCCTAAACCCACCCCGGACCACCTACATCAGTAGGTATTTATTGGTATTTGGGGCCAACTGCAGTGTGTCAAGGGGATTACTCCCCATTGACCACCTTAGCAACACTGTAACGTGTTATAGGGTAGAACATGATTTGAAAATATTTATTTATTTATTTATTTATTTTAAGGTTAGTCAGGAGAATACATTGATAATAAATTGAACTAATAAAAATTATAAAAAAAACACAATGTAGAATCATCGCTCAAACATTCGAGCCCTGACTAAAAAACTATCTAAAAACACAACCGAATAAAGATAGCTGATTTGAAAATATTTATTACTTAAATTCATTCGAAATCATCACAAAATTTATCGTCACGTGATCGATTCAAAATTGATGCGATTGAGTACTAGTAACTGCTTGGTAGCAAATCACAGGTTTCTGCAAAGTCATACTAGAGTTATTCAATTTTTATAATTGTTTACCTCAATGTATTTCCAGCCTTTGGGCCATGTTAATTACAATTACTGCTACTCACCAATGGACCATCAAATGAGTAGAAAAAAGTATAGTAAATAGTTATGATAATGATGAGTTTCAAAATATTTTTTTAAAGAAAATAATTTCTTAATTAATTTATTTTTTAATTCTTAACTAGTATACTAACTTGGTAAGACGAAAAGGAGTGAATGGTGTTTATCACTTGAGTAGGGAATAGGGATGCCAATACCTTTCACTAATATATAACATTCAGTTGTTTACTTTATTAAATATATATGCAAATAAAGTGTGTTTACAACATTGTAAAAAATAAATTACTACGTTTTGACTATATGTTTACAATAGTAAAATAGATACAGTGAAATCGTTTTTACGGTAAATTAAAAAAGTGTAGTGGCGGTGCATTTTTTCACTTTTGCAACGCGTTGTATGACGTTTAATAACGACGCACAAAACGACGTGTGAATCATATGATTTTAGCGCAGTGTCAACGTTTTTTAAAAATTAAAGATACTTTGTAAAGCACATTTCTATTTAATTCTTTTAAAAAAGAAATCGGTACAAATTTTAAAGAAAACAATATCGAAGTTTTTCAAAAACTTATGATTTCTAAAAGAAAGGAAATGAAATTGAAAGATAGTAATAATTTAGGACTTTATGACTAACTATATATGTAAACTTTTTTTTTTATATGAAGTATTCTATAATTTATAATAATGCGATCAATTATTGATATCATGCTTTGAAACAATGCTAAATAAGTGAGAATGAATAATGCTTGATAAAAAGTTTCTAATATACAAAATATGATGATGAATAAACTAGGAGCTGCCTGTTATTCCACCTTTACCTCCGCCTTTTTTAGGTGCAAACGTAGCCCTGACTTTGCCGTCTTTTTCTTTCGATGGACTTTCGTCTTTTTGAGCATTTTTTCTTTAATGATTAAATTAATAAATTAATAGATTTCTTTCGTTGATTTTTAAAAAGTATTAATATTGTATTTGTATTTACCTCTTAATTAATTGATCTAAATTCAAAGGAGAGGCTGTTACGATAGTAGCCATAAGTACAATCAAGAGAGCAAAGAAGATTTGACGCAAATTCATTTTTATAGCGTTTAGATCTTTTTGTGTTTGTGTTTAGATATTTTTAATTTCTTATTTAAAAGAATTATTCTTTGAAAAATTTTTATTTGATTTCTGAATTAGTTGAATTGGAACAAGTGGGAAAGCCATTTATATATTGATTTTTTTTCAATATTATTAAATGGGGCCTGTGTTCCCTTGAACGATCAACAAAACGAAATTAATTTTTACAAACAATAAATTTGGTATTCTTTGTAGTTTATCTTTAATAATTAGAAAAAAACTTTCAAACATTTCTTTCTTTCATCTTTAATATAAAGACGTAATTTAACAATTAATTTATTCGAGCTTTGTTCTTTAGAAGGGTGATTGGTTGAAGCTTGTTTAATAGTATTTTTTATCTTTTAAAAAGGAAAATAAAGAAAATAAAAAATCGAATTTTTTAAAACAAAAAATTTTATTTTGTCTTGCATGTGTAATTGGTTAAACTAAAAAAGGAAAATAAAGGAAAATAAAGAAAATAAAGAAATTTTAGTCCTTGTTAATAAAGGTTTAATTATGTGTAACGATAAATAATAATGCATTATATTATCAGTCATGTATTGATCCCCATATAATGTGATATTTTTAGTAGTAATCGCGTATAGAAATCTTATATGAAGTTTACCAAATATTATTGTTATTTCTATTCCTAAATATCCTCTTTGAAATGAAATGTTTTCCAGATATGAAAAAAAGCATTAGTATTATTTAAGTTAATTTATTGGTAAAGGTGATGAAGCCGCAAATGCTGATATCATTTTTTGCCATGGTTATTATTTAGAGAAAAGAAATAATGGAAAATAATGAATTTTTTCCAAATTATTTTTGTTGTTTATAGTTTTTTTTTTGAGATGAAATTTTTGTAATAAACTTAAAGGGGAAATATTTTCACCTTGGAAGACAAGAAATGAACAAACGTTATAATGAACGAATAATTTTGTTATTTTTTATTATATTTTTTAAATAATATAAAAAAGAATAGTACAGTCTTTTAAAATGAAAATATTTCCTTTACGACAGTTATTAATTCCTTGATCTATGCGTCCTCAAACCATTCCAATCATAGAATTTGTACCTTGTCTTTATGCGGTAAATTTTGTTAGGGGAGTAAGAGGACATAATTTTTGATTTTTTTCATTAAACATCCCAAATTGTAAAATTTAAAAAATTCTAAATTTTCTCTATTTTATATCTCGATTTAGTTAATTTCTCTACTGAAATAATCGCTTTTTATCTAACGAAAAGAACACTTATGAATTTGAGAGCAACTTAATGTAAAAAAATATATTTTAATATTATTCATATTTAATTATTAAGCTATTATTGCTTATATATATCACTACAAATAGTATCATACATATCACACTTAAAGATGCTCAACTCGGTACTCAAAGCCATTTTTGAACTTCCGAGCAGTTGCATCAGACAATACCGCATGGATACAATGGACTAATTCAAATTTTATCCACGATGGTCATGTATTTCTTATCTTGATTTTGACATCTCTTTTACTTATTCTTTTTCTTCCCCTTTTAAATACAAAATCGCAACGTATGCTGACAGCGAACTTAGTCTTTAGGAATTAATCATAAATTTTCATTCCTTTTTGATTGAAAACAATCCAAACCATTAAATTTTTGGCTTCAATTACTTATTTTAATACAACTGTGATAAAACAGATTGTTATATGAATTATTTAAAAACAGTATATTCAAGATATTAAATATTGTGACAGCGATTAAGTTAATTTAATACTTTAAGAAAAAACAAATGATTTCTATATTTTGTGTAAGAGAGTTTCTAGATCTAATAATAAAATCATATAATATGTATGACACTATTTACAGTGATATTAAGGATGCTCAACGGTCTTTTCGGTCTTACCCAGTCCTGACCGGTCTTTGGAAATTTTTCGGAAAAGTAACAAGACTGCGCACTCAAAATTTTGTGGCGCAGCAGACTTGGTTAAAGACCGAAAAGTGGCAAGATTTTGTACTAATCCAATAAGCAATTTTGAAATAAATAGGACTTTATAGGCCTATTTGACTAAAAACTGCATTTTTTCGGTCTTTTAGCTATGCTGGCCTTAGAAAAAGTAGACAGAGGCCAAAATTTTCTGTTTATCGGCCTTTGCCAATCCAGCTGCGTTACAAAATTTCAGGCGATCATTGATATTTTCCCAAAGACCGGCAAACCTACGACCAAATTTTTCGCCATTATATATATAATCCCGTGATGAAGGTTAAAGCATTTTGATTTATGGAGAATTTACGGAGGCGTTTATAATAGCAAAAGGAACTTTGGGATCTATGTGTTTCTTTCCATTCTTTGAATTTTTTTGCCGCGAGATTTCCATATGGCATTAAAAATATCAAGATGTAAATTGTAAATAAAGGGCAAGAAGAGGACACTGGTGAAGTTATATGGCAAGAGATAGACAAAATAATTGACCTTACTATCATATAGAGAGATGGATTATAATTGGTATCTCGCGTGATATAGATATTATTAATGAAGGTCAGTTTACGGTTAGGCGTAAAAAAGTTAAAGTTTTGTCATGAAATGATGCAAAAATCTAAAATAGATGATGCATTTAGTGTACTAACATATTAAGTGTATTAATGAAATAACAAAATCTTTACAGAGTTGCGAATGTTTCATGATAAATATTTAAACGTAACATGTTCGCATTTAATATTAGTTATTAATAAAGATTTAGTTTATGCATTGAAGCATAATAGCATATACATGTAAAATTGGATTGAATGTTATGACACGTGTCATAATTTTTTGTTTATTGGCAGGAGAATCATTCAGTGAAACAGATTTTTTTTTTTGTACTTTATTTAACATGAACAGAAAAATTCCTGCTGTCATTTACACTTATTACAAATTTAACCTAGCCAATAACTATACTAAATTTATTGTTCTATTATTTAATTTTTATACCTATTTTAATTATTCCATAATCATAAATCCATAAATCACTTCTATTCCATATTTTTAATATCAATCTGCTCTATTGTACGTGACCTTTGGCTGCTTTCTTCTTCCCTTGAATTACTTTTCGTACTGCCCCTATCCATTTTTTATACTGTAAGAATTATAAAAATTTTATGTACCATTTTATATTAAAAAAAGATAAAACACATCTACATTAATCTAAACATTTCATTTCAATAAATAATTTTGAAATAAAAAATCTTATAAAATAATAAAAAATACAAATATCAACAAAAATTCATAAAAAGTTAATAATAATAATAGTCTTCCTCCTCTTCTTTTATTTCTTTATCATTACTTTTAGTCAAAAATTTAACAGTACCCAAGTCTTCATATTTTTCTATTACTTCTAAAATTTTTGAACTAATATTATCATAGTAATTATCTCCTTCATTCACAATAATTATTAATGAAAGCAATTTTTTTGGTATTCTTTTTTCCCATCTTATAAAAAATGATTCTAAATCATCTGAAGATATAACTGAATTTGCATAATTAAATATTTTTAATTCACAAAAATTATTTGGTGAATATTTTGCAATAGTTTCGAATATTTCCTTTTCAGGTAAATAATCAATAAAATAATCTTTACCATACCAAATTTTAATACTTTCTAAGTATTGACAATTGATAAGTACAGTTTTTAATATATCTAACTCATCATTTTTAAGTATTATGAAAAGACTTTTAAGGTTTGGACAAAATTTAGCAATAGATAAACCTAAATATTTGTCACTTTCACCTATATAAAGCTTTTTAAGAGTTTTTCCATTAATTTCTAAAAATTTTATTATATACTCAAGTTTTGGACGTTCATAAGGAATTTTTAAAATTTGTAATTTAGGAAAATTAACATATTGTAACTTTTTAAAATTTTCAAAATCTACTGCATCAAAGAATGAAATTATCAATTCTTGTAAATTTGAGAATAAACTGATAAATGAGAATGTTGAATTACTATTACTACCATAAAAGTTCAATTTTGTTATTGTACGAGAATGTTTTGATACAGCAGGTATAATATCTGCCCAACTTCCATCAAAAGCTGATAAAGTTAAATGTTTTAAATTATTCTGCAAAGAAATTAACTCTTTTAATTCATTTGAAACACTATTATCATTAAAATCTATGGAAATTGATTGTAAATTACGACATATTTGAGAAAGTTGATAAAAAAAGTCAGAAGAAAGATTTGAATTACAGCATAATTCCAAAAGATCTCTCGCTCCAGAAAAATGAGGGAAAGTAATGTTAGAAATGCAATAGTTATTATTATAGCTATCAAAACAATAATTATGATAAGTCAATTTTTTCAAAGAAGAAATTTGGTTTGCAAACATTTTGATAATTTCATTCGCAACTAAACAACTTTTATCTTTTGAACTTAATGAATTATCAATCATCCTATTAATCCCAAAGATTGAAAGAGCTTTACAAAATGATACATAATTAAATAACAATGGTTTTGAAGTAGGGGTTGAAATGAAAACTTTATTATCATATAAATGCTTTTTTGACTCATCGGGAAGACAAGCAATTAAAGTACTAAGAATTGAAAATTCCACTTTGAATGAACGTTTCGAATGAAATTTGAAATTCAAAATATTCCTCCACAAAATTCTAACGGAAATTTCACACCAAAGATGATTAACCAACAAACATGAATGTAAAGTGAATTTATCATCCTCTAAATATTCAAAAATCTCATTTAAACAATCAGTTGGAAGTTTACGTGCCATTTTATTGACTTATTATTTCAAAAAAAAAAAAAAAAAAAATTCTTTTTGATATTTAATGAACTTTGAATATAAAATTATTTGAACAATCACCCGACCAGCTAACCTATTTATTGTGTAATAAACATTCGGAGTTTTTCGGATAAAACATTGCTTTTTTAGTTTAAACAAAATTTTTGTTGATCGGTACGAATTTAGATCATGTGGTGATTGTGGTGTAGTCACTTTCATAACTGAAAATTAGATCACGTGATAGATTAAACCGTTTTTTTTAGTTAAATAATGTGACAACTTCCAGTTGACTGTTTAAATGAATTTAGGGTATTAATTGCCTGTCTCCCAAATGA